ATGTGTAACGTTAGTTGAATTTGTCACGTGATCTAGCCATGTGAGTATCAGATCCACAAAGAAATGCACAAATGCTAAGAGCTGATCGATTGTAAGATTATTTGTTAGAAGGAATGCCTACATAAATGTCCTCTAATGTCTCCTGGATTTCTGATTAGAAGGCGCACACGGTATGTTGTTTATTCTTTGGATTTCATCTGTTAATTTGCAAAGTTAATGTAACGTGTATTGATCTTGGTTCAGTAAGAAGCAGACTTGGTTAAACTGCGGTAAAAACAGAAACACACTCACAGTTTCTGTATCTGAATGCAATTTTATTTGTTTCAGTTTTTCACGGTGTCATGATGTAAAGATGTCAAGATGTTGATATCCAAAGGGTGTCACGATGTTCAAGTGATGTCGAAATAGGATCAAGATGGCACTGCAGTCACGCCATCTACGCTTAAAAATTTGTTGTGCGTCTACATGGCGTTGCGTGGTAGTGATGGCCATACAGCTTCCAAACCACTGCAAATCTTTTTTTTTTTTTTTAAGAGTGGGTCTGAGCGTGTATCAAACTGAAACCACAGTCAATTAATCGTTAATAATAGGCTAATTAAAAACACATTACACATGCACTTCTTATTTAATGGTATTCTATTGTTTAATTGTATGTAATGTATTCAACTTTCAATAAAACATTTGCAATGGGTTTGTAAAATGTTTTATGCATGTTTTGGCCTGAGACACTTGATTGGAATTGAATATTAAAAATTAATTAAAAAAAATAGTTTTCTGCAAATTCTTGTTCGACATCTCCCCAAGTACCACTGTGGTAAATTTGATGTTGCTTTACTGTATCATTTTTTAATAATTGCATGCAAAATTCATGAGTAATCCTATTTACCTTGCTATACGGACACATTTTAAAAAATCATAAAAAAAGGAAATCAAATTGTTATCCGCAAACTCTACAAGATTCTTGTTCTTCACCTCCCCAGGTACCACTGTGGTGATTGTCATGTCTCTTTACTGTATCATTTTTTAATAGTTGCTTACCAAAATCCTGGCCAATGCTATTTATGTTGCTAAAAATACCATTTACAAATTTATTAAAAGGTAAAATCAAATTGTTTTCTGCAAACTCTACAATATTCTTGTTCTACATCTCCCCAGGTACCACTGTGGTGATTGTCATGTCACTTTACTGTATAATTTTTTAATAAATGCTTACCAAAATCATGACCAATGCTATCTACTACCTCACTGTAAATAATTTTTTTTTTTTAATTTATAACAAGGTAAAATCAAATTGTTTTCTGCAAACTCCACCAGATTCTTGTTCTACATCTCCCCAGGTACCACTGTGGTGATTGTCATGTTACTTTACTGTATCATTTTTTAATAATTGCTTACCAAAATCCTGACCAATGCTATTAATGTTGCTATATGGACAAATTTTAAAAAATCATACCAGTCTGTCTGGAATGACATGAAGAACCAGAACAAACTGAGACAGACTAAATCCAGAAGAACTGTGGCAACGTCTCCGAGATGCTTTAAGAAACCTACCTGCAAAGCTCCCTGAAAAACTGTGCAAGTGCAACAAGGGCAAAATATGCGTTAAACGCAAAGGGTGCTCACACCTAATGTTGATTTAATTTAGTTATTAGAAGTTAATTGATAAAAAAATATATATATTTATGAGATTTTTTTTAAGCATTTTACACAAGTGCCTAAAACTGTTAACAGTACTGTAGCTTTGCAGGTAGGTTTCTTGAAGCATCTTGGAGACGTTGCCACAGTTCTTCTGGATTGAGTCTGTCTCAGTTTGTTCGGTTTCTTCATGTCATTCCAGACAGACTGATGAAGATAAGATTAGATCTCTGTGTGGAGCACTGGCTGCTGTCTGCCAAAAACCTCAGTGGATTATTACAATTAATGGCAAAATAAATGTTTGGAAATGTATACTGATATTTCCTACTGACACATTACAGCAAAAGATAGAAATAATTGACATAAAGCCATTTTTAGCTGGTGAAAATTCTAGTGTTGTAATAATTTTAGCCACCACTGTGTATACACACACACACACACACATAAATATATATATATATATATATACAGTGGGTACGGAAAGTATTCAGACCCCCTTATATTTTTCACTCTTTGTTATATTGCAGCCATTTGCTAAAATCATTTAAGTTAATTTTTTTTCCTCATTAATGTACACACAGCACCCCATATTGACAGAAAAACACAGAATCGTTGACATTTTTGCAGATTTATTAAAAAAGAAAAACTGAAATATCACATGGTCCTAAGTATTCAGACCCTTTGCTCAGTATTTAGTAGAAGCACCCTTTTGATCTAATACAGCCATGAGTCTTTTTGGGAAAGATGCAACAAGTTTTTCACACCTGGATTTGGGGATCCTCTGCCATTCCTCCTTGCAGATCCTCTCCAGTTATAACGCGTTGCGAGAAGCCTTGCTTGTGCAGCTTTAACAATCCTGCCACGTTCAGGTCCACGTTCATGTTTTAAAACTTGATTTGTACAATAAATTTTCATTAGTTTTAAAAAATGTCACAATGGGTAAATATTCAATATATTCGCACTGAAAAATATAAAGAAAATCTTTCAAAAATGAGAATGATGCCATAGAACCTTTTGAATGGAATACTGGATTGGCTTGTTGAATTGTTGAGAAATTCTACCAGTCACCATAATGAAGACACAATATACAAATAAGTACTACAACCACTACTAACAGTAATACCTTTGTGACAGTGATCTTGCTGGATTGTGACAATAACATAAGATTAGTGATAATGTAAAAGTACAGTTATGTGGACATTTTATAGTACATCACAACACTGAAAGTTGTATCTGGAAGACCAGATACAATATTATATTGGAATAGGCTACATAAATGTTTATTCAAATTAACATAAATATTTGTAAACATTCACCTGTAAGTCATGACATGTTCATGTTGTGTGTCAAGACAGAGAAACCGCACACACAAGGCAGGATGAGAATTACCAAAACCTTCACTAAGCCAAACATAATGTCAAATACACAGTCAATATCACATCCTCATGGTTATGCCAAAGCCAGCCAAAAGTATATAAGAGTCTACAGGTTAGTTTTGTATGTCGATATAGCGAGGTAAATAGTATTGGTCATGATTTTGGCATGCGGTTATTTAAGAATGATACAGTAAAGTAAGATGACAATCACCACAGTGGAACTTGGGGAGATGTAGAACAAGAATCTGGTGGAGTTTGCAGAAAACAATTTGATTTCCTTTTTTTATGATTTTTTAAAATTTGTCCATATAGCAACATTAATAGCATTGGTCAGGATTTTGGTAAGCAATTATTAAAAAATGATACAGTAAAGTAACATGACAATCACCACAGTGGTACCTGGGGAGGTGAAGAACAAGAATCTTGTAGAGTTTGCAGAAAACAATTTGATTTTACCTTTTTATACATTTTTTAATTGTCTTTTTAGCAACATAAATAGCATCGGCCAGGATTTTGTTAAGCAATTATTAAAAAATGATACAGTAAAGTGACATGACAATCACCACAGTGGTACCTAGGGAGGTGAAGAACAAGAATCTTGTAGAGTTTGCAGATAACAATTTGATTTCCATTTTTTATGATTTTTTAAAATGTGTCCGTATAGCAAGGTAAATAGGATTACTCATGAATTTTGCATGCAATTATTAAAAAATGATACAGTAAAGCAACATCAAATTTACCACTGTGGTACTTGGGGAGATGTAGAACAATTTGCAGAAAACAATTTTTTTTTAATTAATTTTGAATATTCAATTCCAACATCAAGTGTCTCAGGCCAAAACATGCATAAAACATTTTACAAAAACATTTTACAAACCCATTGCAAATGTTTTATTGAAAGTTTAATACATTACATACAATTAAACAATAGAATACCATTAAATAAGAAGTGCATGTGTGATGTGTTTTTAATTAGCCTATTATTAACGATTAATTGACTGTGGTTTCAGTTTGATACACGCTCAGACCCACTCTTAAAAAAAAAAAAAAGATTTGCAGTGGTTTGGAAGCTGTATGGCCATCACTACCACGCAACG